CCCGGCGCCCCCCGCCCCGACCCCGCCCTGCCCCCGGCCCGCCCCCGGCCCGCCCCGGCCCGGCGGTGCCGCCGCTCCCGGAAGCCCCGGACAGGCGGGGCGGGCGCGGGGCCGCGGTGGGAGCGGAGCGGGACCGGACCGGCCATGGTGGGGCCGGGGGACACCGGCGGGGGGCCCTCGGGGGGCGCCGGGCTGTGCAGGGGCTGGCGGGGGGTCCGCGGGGCAGCCCCGGGGCTGTTTGGGGGTGTTTAGGGGGTGTCTGTGGAGGGGGGGGTGCCCGGGGTGCCCGTAGGGTGCTTGGGGGTCCCTCTGGGGCGTCCCTCTGGGGTATCTGGGATGTGCATGGGGGTCTGGGGTACATATGGGCTGCCAAGAGTGCCCACGGGGTACTTGGGGAAATGCCTGTGGGATGACTGGGGTGGATACTGGGGGCATATGGAGTGTACGTGGGGTGCCAGGGGGGTACCCACGGGGTGTGAGGGTTGCCCGGGGTGCCCACAGGGTGCTTGGGGGGTCCCTCTGGGGGCTCTGGGGTGTGTGGGGGGGTCTGGGGTGCCCGTGAGGCACTTGAGGAAGTGCCCAGGGTGCTTTGAGATGCCCATAGGATGCTTAGAGGTTCCTCTGGGGCTTTTGGAGTGTGTGTGGGGGATCTGGGGTGCCTATACAGTGCTGGGAGGTGCCCAGGGAACCCACAGGATGTCTGGGGAAGTGCCTATGGGTGCTTGGGTTGAACGTGGGGCACTTGTGGGGTGCTCAGGGCACCTGTGGGGTGCCCAGGGTGCCCACAGGGGGCTTGGTGGGTACTTTTGGGGTGACTGGGGGGTGCCCAGGTTGCCCATGGAGAGGTTGGGGGGTTCCCGGGGTGCCCATGGGGTGCCTGGGGGGTGTCTGGGTTGCCTCGGGGGTGCCCAGGGTGGGTGTGGGCTGCTGGTAGTGCCCCCTGAGCCCTTCCCCGTGCTGCAGGCGGGGGTCCCGGCGGGGGTCCCAGAGGGGGACCCGACAGATGCCACGACAGGGGACGGGCGCGTGCGGGCGCTGCAGAGGGAGGTGCAGGGGGTCACCACCATCATGACCCAGAACGTGGAGCGGATCCTGGCACGGGGGGAGAACCTGGAGCAGCTGCACAGCAAGAGCCAGGACCTGGAGGCCACCGTGAGGGGGGCACAGGGGCACTGGGGCGGGCACTGGGACCCCAGGGTGGGCACAGGATCATTGGGGTGAGCATGGGGTCATTGGGGTGGGTACAGGGGCATTGGAGCGGGCATGGGGTCATTGGGGTGGCATGGGGTGGCACGGGGTGACCAGTGGGGCAACAGGGTCATCAGGGTGGGCACAGGGACCCCGGGATAGCACAGGATTCCCAATGTGACATGGGGTCCCCCAAAGTGGGCACAGGGCTCCTGAGGGGACACTAGGTCCCTAGGGTGGCATGGGGTCACCAGGGTGGTCAAAGGGTCATTGGGGTGGGCATGGGGTGATCAGGGTGGGCACAGGGTCCCCATGATGGGCACAGGGGCTCTGACGGGATCACAAAGCCCCCGAGGTGGCACAGGACTCCTGAGGGGGCACGGGGTCCCTGGGGTGGGTGCCAGGACCCCGGGGGGAACACCAGGTCCCCAGGGGGGCTGCAGGGTGCCCAGTGGGTTGGCATGGGACACTTGGGTGGCAGGAGGTGTCCCCAGGGTGGCAGTGGGGGCCCCAGGGTGGCAGTGGTGTGTCCCCAGGAGGTGAGAGCTGTCCCTTGTGTGGCAGTTGGGGTTTCCAGAGTAGCAGGGTGTCCCTGGGTTGGCAGTGTTGTCCTTGGAGTGGCAGCTGAGTGTCCTCAGAGTGGTAGTGGCTGGTCCCAGGGTGTCAAGTGTGTCCCCAGGATGTCATGGGTGTCCCTCGGGTGGCAGAGGTGTCCCCAGAGGGGCAGTGGGTTGTCCTCAGGGTGAGAGGGTTGTCCCCAGTGTCTCAGCAGATGTCCCCAGGGTGGCACTGGGTGTGTCAGGGCTGTCCCTGGGGTGGCAGTGGGGTGTCCCCAGGGTGTCAGAGTCGTCCCCAGGGTGTCAGTGGGTTGTCCCCAGGGCGTCAGGGGTGTCCCCGTGTCCCCGCAGTCGGAGCACTTCCGCACCACGTCCCAGAAGATGGCCCGGCGCTACTGGTGGAAGAACGTGAAGCTGCTCGTCATCCTTGGCCTCGTGGGTGCCATTGTCCTCATCCTCATCATCCTCCTGGCCACTGGCACCATCCCCACCTAGAACCACCATCCTGTGGGGACACGGCCACCCTGGAGCTGAATACACACGGGGGGACGAGACAGAGGGACCTGTGTGTGTGTGTGTGCTGGGGGGACATGGGGGACGTGGGGGGATATGGGGGGACACAGGAGGATGGCCATGGGGACATGGGGAGCACACAGGGACATGGGGGGACATGGGGGGACACAGGGACACAGACATGGCGGCACTGGGGACAGGTATGGGGACACATGGGGACGTGGGAATATGCATGAGGAGATGGGGGGACACGGCGAGGGACAGGCCCTGGGGACACGTGGGGATGTGTGTAGGGACAACACATCAGTCACGAGGGAAACACGCGTGGGGATGGGGGGGGGCAGCAGGTGCCATGCCAGGGCGTGGGGGTGGTGCCAGGCACAGAGGGACAAAGGGCACAGTGTGGTGGTGGTGGTGGCACTGCCACCCTGGGGGGGCTGGGACAGGCGGGGGACAGGGACATGGGGGGACATGGGTGGCCCAGGGTGGCCCCATGTTTGCAGGGACTTGGGGACACCAACACATGGGGGGCTGTGGGGACCCATTTCTGGGGGACAGGGTGGTCCCCGGGGGACACATTTCTGTGGGGCCTGGAGGTCCCTGTATTCGGGGACCTGTAGGGATGGGAGAGGTGTCTTGGGGACATGGGGGTCCCTGGGGGGCAGGGAACACCCCAGTATTTGGGGGCCTGTGGGGGGGAAGGTGTCTCTGGGTACATGGGGTTCCCGGGGGACCCCGCAGCTGGAGAGGGTTGAGTGGGGTGTCCCGGAGACCCCCGCTCCGGGCGGCAGGGCCGGGATGTCCAGGGGACACCTGGAGACACTCGGGGCTGGGGGGTGGGGGGGGGCGGTCCCGGTCCCTCCCGTCGGGGGCGGCCGCTGGAGCCCGAGACGGGACGGGACGGGACGGGCGCTCCGGGACCGGGCACCGACCTCGGGACCGGGACCGACCTCCGGGACCGCACTGAGCCCCCGGGACCGGGACCATGGTGAGTCCCGGGCCACCACCGCCGCTTTCGCTTTCGCTTTCCGAAGGGCGGACCGGGCTCGGGGAGACCCCCGGGCTCGGAACTCCCCGGAGCCGGTCCCGGTGCCGGTCCGCCCCCCCGAGCTGTCCCTGCGGGCGGGAGGGACACGGCCCCCCTCGGGGTGGCCGGCGCGGGACTTTCCGTGTCCCCCTGTCTCTGTGTGTCCCGGCCCCCGTGTCGTCTGTGTCCCCTGCCACGCCCCATCCCCGCCGATCCCGGTAATCCCGGTGTCCCCGCGTGTGCCCCGACCCCGCAGGGCCCGTGTCCCCCCGATCCCCGTCCTTGGCCCATATCCCCACGGTTTCCTGTCCCCGTGGTCCCCGTGTGCCCCCTCCTCGCAGTACCAGTGTCCCCACGGTCCCGGTGTCCCCAGGGTCCCCGTGGTGCCCCTTCCCTGCGGTGCTCTTGTCCTCACGGTCCTTGTGACCCGTGGTCACCCTTTGTCCCCGGATTGCCAGTGTCCCCATGGTCCCCGTGTCCCCATGATCCTCATGTCCCCCTGGTCTCCACGGTCCTCCTTCCCCGCGGGTGCCTCTATCCCCAGCGTTCTCGCAGCGTCTCCCCCGTGTCCCCACGGTGTCCCCCCACGTCCCTTGTCCCCCGTGTGTCCCCAGGCGGGGCTGGGGCGGTGCCAGCGCCAGGCGGAGGAGGTGACCGAGCTGATGCGGCAGAACTTGGAACGGGCGATGGAGCGGGAAGGGCACCTGGAGCGGCTGCAGAGCCGGGCCCAGGACCTGCGACAGGCGGTGCGACCGCGGGGACGGGCGGCTGGGGACGGGGGTGGCACTACAGGGACACACAGACCTGGGGACACACGGCTGGGGACTGGGGTGGCACTATTGGGACATACAGACCTGGGGACACACACGGCCGGGGATGGTGGCACTATTGGGACGCCTGGAATGGCTGCAGACCCGGGCTTGGGACCCTGGGGACACATGACCAGGGACGGGGGTGGCACTGTAGGGACATATAGCCCTGGGAGGGGACACACAGAGCTCTGGAGGGCATTATAGGGGCACACGGCCCGAGGGGGACACGCAGAGCCCTGGGGGGCATTACAGGGCTGTGGAGCCCCGGGGAGGGGACACAGGGCCATGGAGGGGCTGTGTGTCACCCCCGTGGGCTGTCCCATTGCAGAGCGAGGCCTTCACCCGCAGCACTCGGGCGGTGACACGGCGACAGCGCCAGGGACAGCGCCGCTGGCTCCTGGTGGCCCTGGGCCTCGGCCTCTTCCTCCTCCTCCTCCTCCTGGGCCTGGGCCTGGCACTGGCCCTGGCACAGTCACCTCCAGCCACTGCCACTGTCCCCACCCCGCAGGCACGGACTGAGCCCCCCCAGCACCGTGGGGACCCTCTGACAACAGAGCAATGGGGGGGCCCCATGATAAATAAACAGCAGGATTTGTTCGGGTAGACCCTACCATAACAAAGCACTGGGATGATCTTCAGGGAGACTCTACAACAAATAAGCACCAGGATCTCATTCGGGGAGACCCGACAATAATAAACCTGCAGGATGAGCTCTGGGGAGACCCTACAATAAATACACACCCAGATCTGCTTTGGAGAGACCCTACAATAACAAACGTGCCAGACCTTCTTTGGAAAAACTGCACAAGAACAGAAGAGCAGGACCCACCCAAGGGAGACCCTGTAATAAACACCAGGAGCTCTTTGGGGAGACCCTACAATAACAAACCAGCAGGACCCACTTCAGGGAGACCCTACGATAAATCAGCACCAGTACATGATTCAGGGAGACCCTACAATAACAGAGCAGCAAGATGAGCTCCAGGGAGACCTCACAATAATGAACATGCTGGACCCACTCTGGGGAGACCCTACAATAAATAAGCATCAAGACTTGTTTGGGAAGGCTCTACAATCACAAACCAGGAGGAGGAACTTCAGGGACACCCTACAATAAATAAATAACCAGGATCTGTTTTAGGGAGACCCTATAATAACAAAAGCTCCAGAATCTGCTTTGTAGACACACTAGAAAAACAAATCAGCGGGATGAGCTCTGGGGACACTCTGCAATAAATAAACACCACGACTCATTTGGAGAGACCCTACAATAACAAACATGCTGGACCCCCTCCGGGGAGACCCTACAATAAAAGCAGCGGGATGATCTCCAGGAAGACCCTACAATCAACAAACACTGGGATGTGTTTGGGGAAACCCCACAATGACAAATAAGTAGCGGGATTGATTTGGGGTAGACCCCACAATAACAAACCCATGGGATCTACTTCAGAGAGACCCTACAATAGATAACCACCAGGATTTATTTGGAGAAACCCTACAATAACAAACCAGCAGGATGATCTTCATGGAGACCCTACAATAACAAACGTGCTGGACCCACTCGAGGGGGACCCTACAATAAATAAACACAAGAAATTGCTTGTGGACAGCCTATGATAACAGAGAAACTACAATAAATAAGCTCTACAATCTGTTTTTTAGAGACCCTATAATAACAAACCAATAAGTTCAGCTCCAGGAAGACCCTACAATAAATGAGCACCAGGACCTGGTTTGGGGAGACCCTACAATAACAAAACAATGGGGCAATCTTCAGGAAGACTTTACAATAGCAAACATATTGGGGAGACACTACAATAACAGAGCAGCAGAGTGACCCCTGGGGAGACCCCACGATAAATAAGCACCAGGATCAGCTTTGGGGAGACCCTACAATAACAAGTGTGCCAAACCCCTCTGGGGAGATCCTGTGATATGTAAACCCCAAGAATTGTTTGGGGACACCCTATAGTAACAAACCAGTGGGATTTGCTCAGAGTAGACCCTACAATAACAAAGAGATCTGATGATAAATAAGCACCAGAATCTGCTTTGGGGAGACCCTACAATAACAAACCAGCAAGGTGATCTTCAGGGAGACCCTACAATAGCAAATGGATCCTACAATAAAAAACCCACCAAAACCTACTTAAGGTAGGCCCTACCATAATAACTCCTTGTGTCTTCTCTTAAGAAACCCCACAATACCAAAGCAGTAGGATGGTCTCTGTGAAGACCCTACAATAACAAATGTGCCAGATCCTCCAGAGAGACCCTATGACAAATTAGCACTGGGACTTGCCTTGGGGAGACCCTACAATAACAAACCAGCAGGACCTTTCCAGGGAGACCCTACAATTAATAAACACTAGCATCTAGTTCTGGGAGACCCTACAATAACAAACCAATGATATGATCTCTGGGAAGACCCTACAATAACAAACATGACAGACCTACTTTGGGGACACCCTACAGTAGATAAACACCATGACTTGCTTGGAGACACCCTACAATAATGAATCAGCAAGACTCACTTCAGGGAGACCTGATGATAACAAATGAGCTGGACACTTTTTAGGGAGGCCCTACAATAAATAAACACCAGAACCTGCTTTGGGGTAAACCCTACAATAACCCCCTGCCATGCCTCGCTGCTGGGAGACCCTACAATAACAGAGCAGGGGGGTGATCTCCAGGGAGACCCTATGATAACACCCCCTTCCTTGCTCCCAGGAGACCCTACAGGTCCTGATTCAGGGAGCTCCAACCACAACAGACCCAACCCACTCTGGGGAGACCCTACAATAACACACCAGTGGCACCCACCCCGGGGACACCCCACTTTGGCCACAGGTGCCACCAACCTGGGCCAGGGGCAGAAGGGGGCTGTGGCCCCCCCAGAGGGGTCCCTGGTGACATGGTGACATCGGGGAGGGGACCCCAGGGAGGGTCCCTGGGCAAACAATGGCACTGGGGAGGGGACAGAGGGGGCGGGGGGACATGGCACCACGGCCACCTACACAGGGACACCCTGGCAGGGGACTCTGAGGGGGATGACACACGGGGGTCCCCCCAGGAGCCCCCCTGGATGTCCCCCTGCCCCAGTGTCCCCAGCAGTGACAGACACCGGAGCCTCGCAGCACCTTTATTGACACCGGCGGGGGTGGCACCGGTCCCTGGGGGGGTGGCACCGTCCCAGGGGAGTTCCCGTGTCCCCTGGGGGGGTGGCAGGGTCAGCCCGTGCCCCGGCGCTTGCTGAGCTCGTCCTGCACGCGCTGGCACAGGGCCCTGCGCAGGGGGGGCTCCAGGGGGCTGCGGGCGCACACCCGGCGCGTCACCTCCTCCGCGCTGTCCCCCTGGGGGGGCACGGCACCGCTGGGGACATGGCACCCGGGGAGCCCCATGGCACCCACAGAGCCCCATGGCACCCGGGGAGCCCCACAGCACCCACAGAGCCCCCACGGCACCCACAGCACCCCCATGGCACCCACAGCACCCCCAC